TTAATTAAGATACCTAATTATGTAAAAATATTACATAAATATATATGTAGAATTAATATATGTGTATATATATATATGTATGTGTATATATGTGTATATATCTATATTAATATTTTTATTTATATATAGGTATATATATAGTGATATATACGTATATATTTATGTATATAGATATATTATTTCGTTCTACGTGTATTTTGATATATATATATATATATAATTATATATATATATTAATAGTAAAATACACCTAGACGGTGTACGTGTGTGTATGTATATGTGTATATATATACTTAGATCATATATATATAATATATACATATGATCTAAGTATATATTATAATTTTTTTACACCAATAAATGTAATTTTAATTTTATTTTCAGCCAGCAGGGGGACCACCTGTCATTACAGGCAGCCCCCCTGCTGGCAATGCAGGAGGCAGCCTACCCGGCCATGTGATTGTGGGGTCCTCGCTAGGACCCCACTCTCACATGGACGGGGAGCACCGGAGGAGAAGGATCTGCCGCGGGGGGGCTCCCTGGGAGTCCCCCCCACCGCGATCGCCGGCGTGGGACCGCCGGCGACCGGGTAAGTTAACAAAAACCGGAGGGCGTACAATTACGCCCGGCGGCGTTTAGAGCCGCCTATTAGAGGGCGTAATTGTACGTCCTCCGGTTTTAAGGGGTTAAGGGGTTAAATATTGAGGATGACCCCTATCACCCTTTACCACTATATACTCTCTTGTCCCATTAATTATTTCTCCCTCCCCCCCCCCACGCTTACTCAGCGTGGTACGGGACTGCAACACATGGCGCCATGCACCTGGTCGCAGGGCTGCGACCGCGGTATGTACGCCAGTTTATGCAGATACACATACACTTAAAGGACAACTATAGACACCCAGATCGCATCAGCTCAATGAAGTGGTCTGGGTGCCAGGTCCCTCTAGTTTTAACCCTGCAGCTGAAAACATAGCAGTTTCAGAGAAACTGCTATGTTTCACTGAGGGTTAATGCAGCCTCTAGTGGCTGTCTAACTGACAGCCGCTAGAGGCGCTTCCGCGTTTCTCACTGTGAAAATCACAGTGAGAAGACGCTGGACATCCATAGGAAAGCATTGAGTAATGCTTTCCTATGAGTGGTTTGAATGCGCGTGCGGCTCTTGCCGCGCATGCGCATTCAGAGCTGAGAGGCATGTGGGGGTGGAGGGATCCCCAGCGCCAATGGAGTCCGGCGCTGGAGAAAGGTAAGTGCTGAAGGGGGTTTTAAACCCACACACACACACACTCTCACGAACAGACGCATACACACTAGCTAACAGACACACACTCAGTGACAGACATACATACACACTCACTTACAAAACATACACTCTCACTGACAAACACACACTCGCTAACAGACACCAAACAGACTCCAAACAGACTCACTAACAGACACACACAAACTAACACACTCAGTAATAGACACACACACTCACTGACACACAAACTAATGCACGCACTGACACTCACTAGCACACACACTCAATAACACACACACAAAAAACTAACACACTCACTGACACTCACTAGCAGACACACACAGTAACACACAAACTAACACACACTCTAATACTAACACACATACACACACACGTTTAAAAAAAAAAAAATGTGATCCCTAGCCCCCCTATCTTTGGGAGTGCTGAGGGGATTCCCTGGGGTCCAGTGGTGCTGCCCGGCGGCCGGTCCTGGGGGTGCGCGAGGGAGCACTCTCCCCTGAGTGCTCCCTGTTCAGCTCGCTCGCTCGCCGCTTATTGATGCCCGAGTCGGAATGATGTCATATTCCGGCTCCGGCATCACTGCGATGCGCGAGGGAGATGGGCAGAGAGCGCTCAGGGCAGAGTGCTCCCTTGCGCACCCCCAGGTCCAGCCTCGGGGGGCCCTGAGGTGGCCAGCTTCTGGGCCCCCCAGGAGAAGAGGCTGGCCACACTGGCGTACATACCGGGTCCGCAGTATGTACGCCAATGTTCCCCTCCTTAAATGGATTGTCCATTGACTCTGACGGCACGATCATACGTGCCGCCGTCAATCATCCCCAACCTCGAGCAGCATAAACATTATGCTCGCCGCTCTACTCTTCATAGCTCATAGCCCTCCCCTTGCATGCGTCCAAGGCTATCAGCGGCCAGAGCTTGCCGCTCGCCGCACCTTTCCCCCGTCTATCCCTTCCCTTCATGTTACGCATGCCCCCCTCTCGCCAGCTAGCGTTTACCGGCTAAACTACATTACCCAAGGAGCTTTGCTCCAAATAATGCCGGTCACATGACGCCATGTTTCTCTCTATATTTTATTATACAAGCTTCGTTTTACACATGTATTTATATCACTATGTTCATATTTGCTTACTCTATGAAGCCATATAGGTATTATTTGTTTTGAATATGATTTTTATAATCTGTTTCTTTATTGGATGATCCAAGTTTTGGCGCCAGTTTTAAATTTACATATCCTTATATAAACTTTCCATGCCAGGTATGATGTTTTATACCATTTTGAAAAAGCCTGAAAGGTGAAATGCGTTTTTAAATTGTGTACGTTAACAATAAATGTTTCTTGGTTACTTTTTTTCTGTACCAATTTTATTGGATTTTACATGCACTTTTTATTATTACTCTCCCTGGCATTTTTTTTTTTACAATTCTTTATTTTGGCGTGCATGGATTATATAAGTTACATTTACGCCAGCGATGCCACAAGGGCTAATGCCAGAGTTTCCATATACATATAAAGATAATTGGCATGAAGAAACTGTGCACATTTTTACATTTAATACAAGTAGACAGTAGTGTGGTGCAAGTCAGCGTGTGTGTAAGAGGCTGTATAGGCTTATCCATTGACCATGTTAATAGAAGTGTAGCATACGCTTAGAGAATGAATGGGTGTATATCTCTGAGTAGGCAGATGCTTCCATATGCTTATTATGCTAAGCTGCCCATCTGGTAATTCCCCAGACAGGTGTCTGGGGAAATATCTGTCGAAATTAACCTCCCCCCCAAGTGCCCCCTCGCTTATAAGATGTCTACCAGTGACCTTGTGTAATCAGACAGTGACAAAAGCCTAAGAACTGCTGTATGGAATGAGGTATGGTGTCCGCATTCTAGGCCGGCATCAGAGTGGCAGTCCCCTAATGTCTAGCCTGCAGTTCAACCGATGAACACCGTGGGCAGGACTCCCGGCCTCGCTGATCTTTAGTTTCAGCACACCAGCTGCAAGCAGTCGGCCCGAGCATTGTGGTCCTCTCGCGGTAGTTAGGTAGGTATAGCATGCATAGCTGTAACATCAGAGCGGTGTCTTAGTCTGTGAGCCGTGCTCTTGGGCAGGCTTGGTGGTAGGTGTGCGGGAGTCAGCCTCCGTTGATCTCTGCAGTGCTGTATGTGGTGGCTTAGTGCGTCTCCGGTTCTTCCTCCATGACCTGGGTCATTCCAGGACCGAAACCCGGATTCTGAGTTGCTTCTTAGCAGGCACCTGCAGGTATTTATTCTGCTTGCGTTGGCTTTGCGTTGGTGTGATGGGAGCGCCGGTCTCTCTTCTGGTAGTGGTGGCTCGCCATGCTTTCTCCCCTATTTTGAATGCGGCGTCTGAGCCCCGGGTAGACATTGCCACAGCTCAGTACGCTGGTGTGAGGGGGGGGAACAGGGCCAGCCCCAAACTGCCTCATACTTCTGGCATGGCACTGTTAGGCAGGATAGTGGGGGCAGCGGCCGTCCACCCCATTCAACGCCTGAGTGATCACCATCATGGTCGACGGAGAGCCCTTAAACTAGTCAGCAAGCATCTCCGCGGAGCCAGGATGCCTTCTTGCACTGGGCCACAGCTTCCAGTTGTCAGGTTGGTATCTTTTCAGTTTTTTAAGGGGTTAAAAAAATAAGAAATTGCAGGAGCTGCTCTTTTTTTTTTTTTTTTATTCTTTATTTTTGTAGTGCATATTTTAGTTAACAAGGTCACAGTGACATTTTTAAACGAAAATATACATTGAGGTTGAAAAACTGTACAGTGCCTATGAATGATAATAGAACAAGTTTTGTTATAGCGATTACAGGACATAGGCACTTATATTGAATGCCACAATTTTTGTATTTTTTTTAATTCTTTATTTTTGTTGTGCAAGCGTTTACATACAGACTTGCGATACCACAACAGTATTGGCAAGTAGTTCAAGCATAAAACATTGTGTAACTTTGACATGGTATATGGAGTGACTGCACACATTTTTTAAGATAATATACAACGGGTTACCAATACATGCTGGGTGTATCATGCGATAAGGTAAACATGCTATATCTGAGGTAGGCTAGGACCACGCTGAACTAGTGTGTCTATCATGGTGTAAGACATAACAGATTTATACTGCACGTTTGGTATCTAGACAAGATAATATAATATTAAATCTGCATAGATGCCTAGCACACTGATACTGAAGAAACATGTCAGACACACGTGGTGAAGCCTCTGAGGATATGTTTCAATTATGTTATGCAATGCACGATTAGTACGTTTTAAGTAGTAATTATTGTTTAACATGCTGGCTAGACAAAAGCTTACGTTTTAAGTAGTAATTATTGTTTTACATATTGGCTAGTCAAAAGCTTAGTTAGGACCACTGGAGCTTAGCACATCGTTGCCATTTAACATAGGTAGGAAAGGCAATACTGTAGCAGTGTATAGCAAGGAATACTGGGTCATAGGCGGCAAGAAGTAAAGTTAAAACTGTAGTCCCTTGTAAAGCCCGCGTAACGTTGGGCTGTGGTTGTCTCTGTGCTGGCCTATAGGATGGGTTAACTTCAGACTTGTGGAGGGACAGGGAGACACAGTAGTCCTGCAGGATCCACATGCTTTCACAGGTGTCTAGGGTACTCATCTGGGTGGCAGTTGGGCTTCTCCTTCCAGGCTTGATCTGTAGCAAAGTGCAGAGCTAACAAGCTTGTTGTTGCTTGGGAAGGGCGGCTGGTAGAAACATCATGCAGCGTGAGAGCACAGCTCCCCCAGGGGTCGTCGGTTGCGGTCAGAGGGTATAGTAACTCTTTCAGCCCCACTCTTTCCCCTGCTGTGGTAGATGTTTTTGTCCCTAGACTTGCCTTGTTCTAGCTGGGTGGTCTTCTCTGCGATCGGCTCTGTCATGCTGGCCGGTCGCGCACATGGCTTGCGAGCGGCGGCCATCTTGTGGGGTGCCGCTCGGTAGGTGTTCCACGGCAGGGTGGTTGTTCTGGGCCCAGATTTGCGCCCCAGTGGTTGCCCTTCTAGACCGGGATGACCCCCCCGGTCCAGAGGGGGGGAGGGGAGCCAGACGTCGGCTGGAGACCCGGGAGGGCGGCCGTCCCTTCCCGGCTCAAGCTCCTTTGTGCTTCGGGCCCTTGTCGGGTCAGGCAGGGTCTTGTGAGGTATCCCCGCGTTCTTCATCAGCTGGGGGTCAATTTGGTCGCCAGTATGGACCGCTGGTTAGGTTTGGCCTCCGGTTTTCACCGATTTTTCGGCCCTGAAGCGGGAGCTCAGACAAAGCACGTCTGATCCCGTCGGCGGTCAGGCCCCGTCCCCCTGAATGCCACTATTAATAACAAGCTTAGTCAAATAAAGGCTAATAGACAACAGTATTGTGTAGTGTAACATGCTAAACTAGATATGCGCATAGCCAAACTAGTTGCGCTTTAGGTTATAGGTGTAAAGCTGTGTATTAGTAAAGCTAGGAGCGTTTATGCTTAAGGTACCAGTTGCATGTATTTAAGTGTAGAGATATACCAACAATTTCACCGCCAGTTTTAAACCAGCTTGGAGGTAAACACACACAAGATGTCATTGCCAAAAAAGAGAATACTTTGCAAGGTGTGAAAACAACGGCATATTATGTTGTCACATTACGTTGTCAAATAACATACTAATAATAATAATTATGTTTAGCCAGGGTGTAGAGGGCAGTTCTTGCGATATGAGGCATAGTGAGAAAGTCCAGCTATTGCGAGAAATGCCTAAAAACATAAAGGTTAGACAGCTGCAGTATACGTGCATATGTATATAGGTCTTTATGAATATATGGAATAATTCGTTAGAATCATTTTCATTCCATATGATAGGAATAATAATAGAGCAGAGGGGTCAGACTCTGCATCAATTAGAAGAAAAAATTAAATATATTCAGATAAAATTAGAACCCTTTATACAGATGGATGAATTTGAAAGCATCAATAAAAAAATGATAGAAAAAATTGTTAGGTTAGAAAAAAGATTATAGAAACTAAAAGAAAGAAGTTTAAACGAGATATGGATGATTATGCTCAGGGAAAAATTAGAAATTTTTCAACTTTGGAAATAAATAAAAACAAAAATAGAAAAAGTGGAACCTATTACAATAAAGAAAATATAACAAAAATAAAAAATAGGGATACCACACATCAATACCAAATAAGGGAGGAACAAAGGAAAAATAGAAGAGAATAGTTTGGAGTTCCATTTAGAAAGGAAGAAGAATGGAAAAAAGTTACCCCCCGGAGAAGAAGGAATTCTAATAGAAGAGAACCTAGTAATTTCCCATTGCATAAAGGCGATATATATAAAAGAGCCTCCCCACAAAGGACTTTTACCTATAATAGATTTGAAAAGTTAAGAAACCTTGGGGAAGAAAATCAGGATCTTTTCTTAGGACCAGCATACCTAAACAGGAGAAAAGTAAATACTCCATTAAAGAAAACAAGGGAAATGGAGGAAGGAGAAGTAGAGGAAGAAGGAAAGAGAAAAAAATACGAGAGGGGGAGGAGAAACTAGAAAATAAATCCATCCCTATTTTTAACCTTTCTGATAAAATTTTAACAGATACTCATAGGTCTGTTTTACGGAAAGGTTTTAAGTTTTCACCAAGTTGTGAGGCTGAGAAATGTGATAGTTTTTTAGATTTGAATAGATTTTTACGTAAATTATGTTTAAAAATTTTTTTTTAAGGATTTTATACCTAAAGAGGAAGATATTGATCATTTAAATAATTTTTATAAACATACAGATTTGAAACAAAAATCTTAATTTTATCCATTAAATAAAAAAACGGAGGCAATGAAGGTCTTCGAAAAATTATGCCTTAAGGATTCGAGAAAGTTAAAACCACTCAATAAATATCAAAAAAATTTAACAAAAAAAGAAAAATTAGCTTTAAAAGAAGACAAATCCATAATAATAAAACCGGCAGATAAAGGAGGAGGTGTAGTGATTTGGCAGAAGAATAAATATTTAAAAGAAATTCAAAGTCAATTAGATGATAACACTACCTATTTGAAACTAAATGGCAATCCATTAAGTAAGATAAAGGAAGAGTATGAAAGTTTTTTAAAAGAATGGATGGAAACAGGAATTTTGAATAAGAAAGAATATAAATTTTTAAAAGTGGAGCATCCAAGAATACCAGTAATTTATGTATTGCCTAAAATACATAAAGATTTTTTTAATCCACCTGGAAGGCCAATAGTATCTGGCATAGGATCACTCCTGTCCAATTTATCACAATATATTGATCAATTTTTACAGGATTTAGTTAAAAAATGTCCAACTTGGGGGCGGAGCCTGACCGGGGAGCTGAACAGACACGATATCTGTGGGCTCCCGATCCTGAACCCAAATACCAGCAAAAACGAGGGGAACCCGTCTAATATTGAACCCCAGCCTACCTCACCCTGTGCCACAGAAGTTGAGGAACCGGGGAATACCTTACACGACCTGATCACTCGCAGGGAACCCAGATTAGAGGATCGAGGCCTACATCTCACAGAGCAAGGGAGAGGCGGCCGCTCTCTCTGCACTCTTAAGCATGCAGCACCCGCAGTATCGAGCTGCCCCCCCCGGGACCGGTGGGGGTTATCCCGGTCCCAATCAACAAATCCTGTATACTCACACGGCCTGCAAATGAAGCCGACAACCCACACTACGTGCCAAACCAGCAGGCCAGAAGCAGCACTAAAATGGCGGATGCTCAACCTAACGAAGACCATGCGCTGCCAGAATACCGGCTTAGCCCAGACGAATCCTTAAACACTCGCCTGCAAAAGCTGCTTGAATACTTCTGGGTGAGGGTGGAAGCTCGACACGCCGCCACACAGATACGGGCACAGGCGAACCGGGGTGCAAAGCAGACACGAGAAAGCGACAGCCGGAGAGAGCCCAGTGGACCCCTGGGCATAAACCCGACAAAGCTGACAACCTCTCAACAAACGAGCCCATCCGGGCTTAAGGCCCTGAGGGGCGAAGCCCCGAGGTATCCCCCACACAGGCGGAGGCCCATACGCCGCAGGCGGCGGAACACCACCACAGCCCCCAGACCTACCCCAATGGGGAAGGACCCGACCTATAAAAGACCCCGAGCCCGTGGAGAAACAATACTGGCCTTACAACAATCCCGGAGCAGGGGGGTGAACCCAGCTTATCCCTGGCTGCCCGCCACCATCTGGACTTACCCGACACAGCCGCTGCAGCTCCCACCCAGAAGTATAGGATGACCCAGCGGAACACAGACGGCCTACCTTCGCACAGTCACCAATGGACGCTTTGCGGTCGGGCTGCGAAGCCGAGCAAGTAAAACCCAAAATGGGACTTTTTTTTTCTTCATGCACCCTTTACCTTGGGTTAACTTAGGCCTCACCATGAACAAACTGAGCCTCTCACAAGTCCGACTAGGACCAAAGCAGCACATAGCTGGTTAAATGTTGAGTGTACTCCGGTAGCTCACCCTACCCTTTCTTGCTCAGTAGTACAAGCACTGTACAGCATCTGATCTTAAGGAGGGGTTGGGGAGAGGGTTAACTTGCTCAATGATTACTATCTGCTTAATGTTTAATGTTTAAAATTGTACTTACTTGATATGTGCCACAAACCCTCATTCCTACATACCACAGCACACATGACTCGAGGAGCAAAGACAAGCCCTCAGTCTAACCTGATGGGTGACACCAAAATCTAACGAAAACTACTACACACACAAAGGGCACAACTTACAGGGCAATATCGGGCACAGGCTGGCCGGTTCATGGCACGACAGAGAGGCACATCCCCACAGCATAAACTACAAGCGACTCACCACAACTCTCACACACCTGTTATATTTACGCCTGTTATCGCACTGAAGTCAAACTACTGTTCCTATTATTACGACACACTCACTAGCACTACATATGGTTACATAATTAACTAATATAAAGCAAATCTAGTTTGTCAGCTTGAATAACATAAAAATGAGACAGTTACTCAAAGGAGATGTTGCACTGTGTTAACGTAACCCTAAGCTGTAAAAATGTACATCCCCTTGTTTTTGTTCTGTACCCCATATAACAAATGTCTCAAAAAATAGATTTACAAAAAAAAAAAAAAAATGTCCAACTTACTTAAAAAACACAATGAGCCTATTGAATATTTTGGAAAATTTTAAATGGGATAAGGAATATATCATGGCAACTTGTGATGTCAGCAGTCTGTATACAAACATAACTCATGATAGAGGATGTAATGCAGCAAGACATTTTTTAAATAAATTTGGGGATTTTAATGAGCTACAAGTTGATTTCATTTTAAAAGGGATAGAAATCATATTAAAGAATAATCTTTTTTGGTATGAAGACCAATTTTATCTGCAGATCCACGGAACAGCTATGGGGACCAGGTTTGCTCCCAGTTATGCAAATTTATTTATGTCATATTGGGAGGAAATGTTTGTCCTCCCTGCTGCAAATTTGGGAGCAAACCTGGTCCTCTATAAGCGTTATATAGACGACATTTTTATTATTTGGAAAGGAGATGAAGATTCTTTGACTAAATTTTTAGACTTTTTAAATTCAAATGATTGGAATATCAAACTTGTCTCCAATATTAGTAATCAGAGCATCACCTTTTTAGATTTGGATATTTTTATTGAATCAGACCAAATTAAGAGTAAAACTCATTTTAAGAAGGTTGATGTTAACAGTTTTATATATTTACGCAGCTGTTACTTTAAACCTTGGTTGGAAAATGTACCAAAGGGTCAGTTTCTCAGATTAAGGAGGAACTGTACGGACCTTAAAGATTACCAGGATCAATCTTGTAATTTAATACAACAATTTATAGATAAGGATATAATCCTATCTCTATTAAAAATGCTAGAGACGAAATAGGTAATAAAGATAGGAGTCAACTCTTAAAATATAAAAATAAGGAGAAAAAGAAAAAAGATGATTTTATCCCTTTGATTTTGCATTTCAGTACTAATAATAGATCAGTACGTAAATTTTTTTTTTTAAATTGGCATGTGTTAAAGGAAGATAAAGACCTTTTACCTTATTTGGCGGATAGACCTCAATTTATTTTTAGAGGAGCTAGGAATTTTAGACAGATTTTAACAAAAAGTTTTTTAGATAAAGAAAAGCAGGGTAAAAATATTTTTTTAGATGGACAAG